GACCCAAAATGGGTCTTGTCTACAAGAAGTGTAGGGGCAAAGATGGAGCAGTGATTGAGGGAGTGGCAAACCAGTGACTGGCCCAACTTGATACCCATCCCACCGGAGAGGGCTGACCACTGTCACTATTAATGATATTCCTATGCTTGCAGAGGAGTCTAGAAAAACTGTCTTCTGAAAAACTCCAAACTTTGTTTGGAAGCTGATAGAGACAGATGCAGAGGTCCAAGGCCAAGCAATGCTGAGCTCAGGGAGCACTATGGAGGAGTGGGAAGAAGAATGGAGGTCAAGGACACCACAAGAAGATTCAGAGGAACCTCACTTAGGCCCATGGAGGCTCACAGAGACTGAACCACCAACCACAGTGCATGAATAGACTAAACCTAGAGCCACCACCCCCCAACATATGTAGCAGATACATAGTTTAGTCAACATGTGGATCCCCTAACAATAGAAGTAGGGGCCATCTCTGACTCTGTTGCCTGCTGCTGGGTCACTTTCCCCTAACTAGGCTGCCTTGTCATTACCTCGTGGAAGAGGATGTGCTTAGTCCTGCTGTGACTTGAGATACCAGGTTGGATTGGTACCATTTGGGGGTCTCCACTAGAGAAAGGAGGAAGGAGAGAGGGGAATAGAAGAAGGGGAGTGTGGAGGAGGAACTGGAGGAAAGGAGGGAGAGCCCTGGAATAGGGATGTAAGGTGATTAAATAAATGGGAAAATAAATATAAGTGTCATACTAAAAAATGTGATATTTACAGTGAGGTTAAAAAAACAAAATATTCTAAAGAGGGGTGAAACAATCTACTCTCTAGGGAAGTTCCTTAAGATCAGAAGTAAACAACTCACGAACTTCAGGAAGTTCCTGAAACTGACCAGATTCACCTGGCCCTTCTTCACCCAAGCATATATAAACTAAGGACTGACTGTGAACAGATACTCTCAGACAAGACAAACTATCTAGAAGAGTGCAACTGAGCAGTCTGAAAGAGACCAACTGAACTATTTGGAACAAATACCCTCGAACCTGTTGAGCTGCCTGCAGATTGTGCCACGTGCTCCAGGTTTCTAGATTATGTGAGTTGTCACCTACGCTGAGGTGAGGTTTTGGTGACACAGGTGTCTTTGCATCATTTCTGTTCCTGTAAGTAACTTTAATAAAAACTCATTACTTCACTAAGTTAGGTTTTGGTAGTATCTGTACTTTGGTCTGCAACTTTTTCCATACCTGGGGTGAATAGCTGTTTATTCATGCTTCTCTAGGAATAGTGTCACACAAGAACTTATCTGGGAGCTTTTACTGTATCCTGATGGTTAAGAAACTTGACAAGGAGGAAAGACAGGAAAGAGAAACATGGCAGGCAAGAAAAACATATGACAAACATTTTAATAAATGAAAGGGACTAGAAAAAGTGGCTGACATTTTAATGGCATTTGTCAACTCTGTCATAATCAAAACTATCCTTTCACTCAACCTATCACTTTCATATACTGAAAGATGTCTACAAAATTATCAGTAATCATTCATAGTTTATATTCTTATATATTATCCATCAAACCACATACTACTGCTAGTGTTTCTGTACCATCAGAGACAGCCATGATTGCTATAATCCTTGCACAAAGTAAAATGACCTTTGAGACATTCTGTGGAGGCCTGTGATGTTATGATTTCTACTAAGTTCCCTGAAATATTTAGTCATCTCAAGGACTCCTTCACTAATTACCCTTTTAGAACCATGGGGTTCTAAGGCATCAAAGAAACACTACTCCATGGCCTTCCTCTGTCCTTGTTTTTCTAATCAACTTGCTAAAACATCAGAGTTTCAGAACAACTGGACTATTTAATGTGATGAACAAGATGTGCAATACTAATTACCACCCCAGTTTTGCAGTTACTAATTACTCTGTTGGGGTTTGAATGAGAAATGTCTGCCATAGGTGCATGTATTTGAGCACTTGATTACTAGCTGGTGGCACTATTTGGTTGTTATGGAAACTTCAAGAGATGCAGCCACAGTGGTGGAAGTACATTACTGAAGGAGAGGCAGACTTTGAGACTTTGTACCTGATACCCCGTCCTAATCCCTAATTACTCTTGTCTGTGTGCCTAAATGTAAACAGCTTCCTGCTCCTATCAGCATGCCTTGCCTTCCCCACCATTACGGATGTTAGGACTCTGAAACCATAAGCAAGACTTTCTTCCTTAAGTTCTTTTAGCCATGGCATTTTAACCACAGCAACAGAAAAAGAATTAATTTGCAGCCAGCCCTGAAGATACCTGATAAAACAGGGTCAAATGAAAGGGGAGGAGGTCCTCCCCTATCAGTGGACTTGGAAAGGGGCAGGGAGGAGACCAGGGAGGGAGTGTGGGGTTGGGGAAGGAATGAGGGAGCGGGATACAGCTGGGACACAGTTAACAAAATGTAACTAAAAAGAAAAATAAAATTTAAAAAAAAAAGAATTAATTTAGTCCCCAAAGCATGAGAAATATTGGCTAAAAAATGTGTACCCATTACTTTTTTTTTCTCATAAGGTTGTAAGAAACTCAAATACAGTAACCCCCCAATTGGGATACCAACATTTCAGATATGATAATGAGAAACTGAAAAGGGAACATAGGTATAAAAACTGTTTAAAAACTTGATAAAAAAGCAAAAGCCTTAACCAGGCATGATGGTGCATACCTGTAAATCCCAGTACTTGGGGTGGCAGAGGCAGGCGGATCTCTGTAGGCCAGCTAGGTATACAAAGTGAGTTCAGGACAGGCAAGACTACACAGAGAAACCCTGTCTCAAAGAAAAAAAAAAAAAAGGAAAGAAAAACAGCATCAACAACCAAAGAGCTGCTATGGTCAACAGATCATTGAATACGGCACTGCCACTCCCCTGGATCCTGGATTTGTTACCCTTATCATCAGAAAATAACTGAATCCACAAAAACAGAATGAAGGGGGAAAAACAGAACCAAAATAAATAAAACTCCTGTTCTGAATAGTCTTGTCAGGCAGCAAATATCTAAATACAACACTATACTAAAAGTAGTTTGTATGTAAATGGTTACAAAAAAAAAAAACAGCAGGCAAAATAGAAGAAACTATCCATTAACTATGCCATGTAGATGTACGTGAACTAAAATTCTTCGGGCCTCCACACACCTCTAAAATGAACACAAAGTCCTTTAAAAAAAAACAAACACTATGTGTGCAAATGAAAAGCACAGCCCTTGCTCTGAAGTCTCACATCTCATTCCTACAGTTATTGACTTTTCCACATCAATAGCAACTGGTTTATGAATATAAGATAGTTCTAAACTTGATTTTTAAGTTACTACCAACATTTTAAGTCAAGTCTTATTAGACACTTGGCATGGAACCCATAGAGAAATGGGGCCTTGAGATGCAGTGCCATTTAACAATTAAGTGTGACCAGTTTCCAGCTGAACGCCACAAAACAAAGTCCTTGATTTTTTACATTCTCATGGCTTCCCAATATTGCTCAAGTATACTTATGCTCAATATTAGCATAAGTATACATACATCTATGTAGTACTGTCTTTATGCACATTTCATATTCACCAGCTTCCCCCAACAGCAATGTGAAAAGCTGAGCAACAGAAAAAGAATGAATGCTCAAGACAAGCTCTTTTTCCTTCTAAAATTTAACTCTTTACTAAACCACCCATATAACGAGCAATCTAAGTACTTATAGAATTTGTCAAAATTTAAATCAAAACAGAAAGCAAGATTTAAAGTGGAAACCACTGAGAACAGTGTTCTACTACTAAACTATCATACTGTATAAGAGCTTTTCCCCACTGTAGTAAGAACTGAGCTTTCCCCATGGTGCAATGGAACTCTGCTGACATCAGTTACACAGTAGAAATCACAGCACCTCAAATCTGGAAAAGCTCACAGATATGAAGTGTAGGAAGGCTGTTCACAGCATCCTTCAGAAAATAAAGATTTTGCCTTCTTGTATTACTGGCTGTTATAGATTCTGAAACAGCTGAGTTAATTTCACCAAATCATGTTGATGAGGCCATAAATCCTGTTTGATGGTTACAACTAGCATTAGGGAAAAAAACAAAATAAAAGTTTTGACTACGTGTCTGTGTTGGTTTAAATAAGAATAGCACAAATTTGCTTGGTCACCAGAGTGTAGAACTGTTTGAAAAAATTAGGTGTGGCTTTGTTGAAGGTTGTCACTGGGGGTGGGCTTTGAGGTTTCAAAAACCTATGCTAGGACCAGTATTTTTCTCTCTGCCTGCTGCCGAAAGATCAGGATGTAGCTCTCAGCTACTGCTCCAGTGTCTGCCTATGTGCTGCCATACTCCCTGCCATGATGATAATAAACTAAGCCTCTGAAACTTTCAAGCCCATAATTAAATGCTTTCCTTTATAAGAGTTGCCTTGGTCAAGGTGTCTCTTCACAGCAATAGGCTAAGACATTGTCTATAGGGGGCTCGTCTGGGATGTTTCAAAACCATGCTTTTAGTTAACACTCTTTATACCGTAGAATTCTTTATAACCAGAACACTAATTTTATATTACCTATGTGAAACCAGGGGAAGGCTGGCTTGCTAGTCTATTGCCGTAAAGGAAGCTTACATGTGATACACCCTTGAGAGTAGTGAAGAATTTCTAATTGTGGGTCTTTTCCCCCTTTTCTCTCTTTTCCATTTATCATGTATGCATGCACCAGAACATTTACATTCTGTTCTGGTCAGAGGCAAATTCTAGAGTTGTGTCTTTCAATCCACCATGTGGGTTCTGGGATCAAACTGGTTGTTAAGTTTGGTAACAAGTACCTTTACCTGCTGAGTCATCTTGCTAGACTAGAATCTGTAGTTTTGATTAGCTGTAGTACTTATCTCTAGAATAGTGTTCTGGAAATATTTTTAACTCTGAGAATATCCTCCTACTTCTCTACTAACTTTTCTTACCAACCAACCCCACTTCTGAAAAAACTCCAACAAAATCTAAGAACACATTAAAGAAAAGTTCAGTATTTTCTAAAATTTTATTATTCTGAATACACACCTTTCACATACAGAAACCCTCTAACATCACACATGATTCCATAACCCAAATGCTTCAACTTTATCAACATTCTTTAAGTATTTACATTGGCTTCCCTCAACAAAAGTGCAATCTAAGACATCTTGACAAGAAATCTTTATAAACAACATATTTTTGAGCTGGTTTTCATGGTGTCCATTCATTGTCTTTTCTTTCAATTAGCTGGAAAAATAATAAAGTCAACAAGGTATGATGATGAACTAGGTTAGAAGCATCCTGTTATGAGAATCACACCCTAAACAAAAGTGCTTTCTCCTCACCGCTTCCCCAATCTCCCAACTAAAATTACTAAAGAACTCCTTCAAGGATTTGAACAGAAAATCAAACAGGTTAGAAAATAGGCACAGAGCAGACTGCACAATCAGCATTGGTATTGTAGAAAGACATTAAGAACTCAGAAAGGTAGTCTTGGTAGTCCAGCAAGTTAGGGATCAATCTGTTAAGTTTTAGCATTTAAACATATAGAATTTTTTCTTCATAAGCTAATTTTCCCAAAAAAAAAGGTATAAAATTTTCTTCTCCTTAGAAAAATGAACCCCTTTTACAAAAAAAAAAAGAAAGAAAGAAATTACAGGATGTTGGAGAAGCTTCTTTGCAATAAAAAACAATCTGCTTATGCTTCCATCTCATGGCACAAAGTTGACCTTTAAAGGTAGAAGCCCAGTGTTACCAAGTGCTTCCCATGTGATCAGATGAAAGCGGAGAGCTGAAATGGCCTGAAGAGAAAATAATCAGAAATTAGCTTCTCTCAAAACTGAAGCAGTTTTAGTTGCTCAGAGTATGGAACTCTTTAAAAAGAAATGACTAAAAATGTTAAAGTAGATAAAATCACTTTAAATTAGTAGTCAGTCTGGAAAAAATGAGTTTGAACACTACTCATCAGAAAAGCACAAGTTATATCTCCTGGATGACTGATACCCTTTAATATCCCAACTACAACAAAAATGATGATCATTCTTGACATATTCCAATTATAATCAAGGTGTTCAGGCAAAGTTTGGTGAAAACATTAAGGTCAGCAGATTTCCAGAGTAAGATTTACCTTCATAGCAAGTATTGTATATTCAATTGTATTTTATTCTCAAATATGTCAAAATTTCCTTTCCAGACAAAAATGCATTTAATGCACGAAAAGGCAAATGGTAAATATTATTGTACAGGGATCATGCTTCTCTTTATAAGACTATATACATCTATAGTCTTTAATTTATTATTAACATAACATCAAAAGCAAATGTTATCCAATTATAGTGAAAAACAACTTCATTTTGAGGGCAGACAATAATCTAAGGAACAAGAATAGAATGTTGCTTACAGTCCCACAGTGGTTTTATTTTAACCTAAAGAACTCACTGGGCACAATGAATAGACTGACTTCAGAACAATAATATAATGAAGTTTTACTAGAAAATGTCAGTATGTTAAAGAACAGCATTTCAACAGTTTATTTATTTTAAAAATCATAAACAAATGCAAAGACAAATATGGAATCTGAATAGAAACTTAACAAAAATTTAAACTTGAGTGCACAACAGGTTCTTAGGGAAACAGCTAGTTCATAATTACAGCTTTGTGCATCAAAAACAAGTTTGTAAGTATCATGTCATATAGACCTCACATTGTTGCATTAAAAACCATCTGACCAATAATGATTTCTGCCTATTCTAGGCAATTTGAACATTTCTTGCAGAAGTGAAAGTTTTCAGATCATCAAACATTAAACCAGAAGCAACAAACCAACTGATGAAGAATATTCATCCAAATATGAAGAGTTTTAGTTGATATACAGGTTCTTTAATGCTATTGTTTCAAACAAAACACCAAGCACTTCAGCAGTAGAACTTAAAATTCATTGGCAATAATGCTGAGACAATTCTGAAAAGAAACCCCCCTTGAGGAGGATGTGGGATAAACCAAGTAAGTGATATAAAATATTTACACGAACCCCAAATTTGCCTATTTGTAAAATGATTATTTTTAGTATTCTTTTAAGAAATAGTTCTGTATCATACTTGAAATTACCTAATTCTTTCCTAAGAAGTAATTCTCTAATTCTAATTCTACAAGGGAGGTCTTGAGCACATTTAAGTCTCCACTTTCTAGTGAACAGAGGCTGATTTTGGGGATACTTGGTGTTCTGTATGTGACTTTTTTTTTTTTTTTTTTTTTTTACCCAACAGTAAGGGATCATGGGAATCTTTAGAATGATCTGTTTTCAGATATGCTGTTTGAATTACTGCTTCCAAAAATGAATGTACTTTTAAAAGAATAAACACTAATTTTCATCATTCTAACAAATTTCCCCTTCCTTCCTCAGGTCAACTGTGATTTTGGAAACCCAGTATTAAATGAGTCAATGTGGCAACAGATAATGAGAAGGAAGTGTGGCATGGTTGGTTCTACAACACAGCAGCTAGGCTAGACGTTTACCTTTGAAAAACTGCATACCAAGCAGCACTTTAGCAATGCACTCTGTAAATGATGCCCACCAAAACCACAAAATGTGCAGATGTTCTGTAGATTCCCAAATTAAACCTCTAGAGACACAATCCAAATAACCAAGTCCTATCTTTCTGTCCTCTTGATTCAGTGTGTGTCATTTCCAAATTCATATCACAAGACCTGTTAGATTCAGCTCACCTAAAGCTATCTGCAATAGCTTTCAAGTGTCACATATAATTTGGATGTTCTTTCCAGTATGAAACTGTTAAATTACACGAATAGTCAAGGACTATTTGTTATACTCTCAGATCATCTGTCAGTGGAGTAAATTATACCTCAGCTTGTGCTGAAAAACAGTGTCCAGATAGCCTAATACAGTACTGGCTCTCCAGGCTCACTTACATTCACTTGTCACTTATTTTTCCAAGGCCCAGAGATTTAACAATGAGTCTCAAGAAAGCTAACATATTAGTAATAGCTCCCTCTCACCTCCTACCTCATCTTTAGTTTAGCACAGAATCCCATCCTTAAATGGTACCCATCCTTCCTACTACCCTTGAACTCCATCAGATACTCTGCATGAGACCAAAATCTGCACAAATTCCCACCTGGGCTCCAGTCTTAACCACATACTGATATTTGGGGATCAAGACAGGGCAAGGGGAAGCCCTCATCTCAGTGGCACAAATATACAAAGTAAACTCTGCTTTAAATTAGAAAAGAAATTAATGTCACAGAATGTTCCCCTATAAAAGATATGTAGTAAAGTAATAATATCAATAAAATAGCTATTACTAAAGCAAAGCTTTCATCAATAAGCTTCGAGAACTTTGAAGGAGGAGAATGGCTTCACGAAATGGTAGTCCAGGTTTCCACAATGTGGACACTGCTGGACATTGCTGTACTCAGAGAAGTACTGCATCCCGATCCGCACGTCGATCACAGGCTTGCCACAGTGCTTGCAATTCAGACGAGCCTAGGGAGACAGACAGCATGAACCTCCAAAGCCATCTCATCAAAATGCTGGGAACTGACTGACTTCCAGTGAAACATATCCTTTATTGGCAGAATCAAAGTATGCATATCTAAGATACACATTCTGGCATCATCTTCATCTTTCTAAGGATTACAGTCTCCCCGCTTCTTTCTTAATATGAGGCACTTATCAATGAGAAAATTCTCAACTGTACTAACTAAACATCTCCACCAAAGTTACCTAACAGCAACCACCTATCCACTGGATTTTATGCAAGTAGCTGAAACTGGCTCCCTGTAACCCAATTCTACATTAAAAAAAAAAAAAAAAATTCCTGAAGAGTCCAAGTTTATTTCAATAGCTCTTATACACTTTGATTTGACCCTACATAACAATCGTTTTCTTTGATGTAAAAAAATAAAATTTCCCTAAAAGATCCAAACAAAATTAGCAATCTAAGCAGGAATGCTGTGTGTATCTTGAGACTTCTGGCATTTACTAGCATATGACATTTTTACCTGTGCCCTGGCCTCTAATGGCACAATCCTGGAGCCCTTCAGCAATAGATCTGGGAGTGAAGTGGATAGGCAGAAATTACAGAAGTACAAATCAGTCTTTTTTTTTTCTTTTTCTTTTTTTTAATTGTTTAGTAACTACACTTTATTCACTTTGTATCCCCTCACCCCGGTCATTCCCTCTCTCCTCCACAGGGGTCTTTTCTGAGACTGACACTCCACCAAGGACCATGTATGGATATAACCTCTGCTCAGGTGTAGCTCGTGGTATCTCAGTAACCAATTGGTTTCCCATAGTAAGGGGAACAGGGACTATTTCTGACATGAACTCAATGGCAGGCTCTTTGACCTCCCCACTCCCCAAGGGAGGAGCAGTCCTGCTAGGCCACAGAGGAAGACTGTGCAGCCAGTCCTGAAGATACCTGATAAACCAGGGTCAGATGAAAGGGGAGGAGGTCTTCCCCAATCAGTGGACTTGGAAAGGGGCAGGGAGGAGAAGAGGGAGGGAGGTTGGGATTGGGAGGGAATGAGGGAGCAGAATACAGCTGGGATACAGAGTTAATAAAATGTAACTAATAATAAAAAAAAAATCAGTCTTAATTTAGATACTTCCTAAAAATTGCTAACAAAATTGTCCTCAAAGCACTCCTATGAGGGAGTATAATCTGCATTTCAGAGGATCAAAAGGGTACAAAGTACATGCCCAAGAAAACAGAAAGCAGAGCAGCTGGGCTGTAAACCACATGTGCTTCAGAGTGCACATTTCACCTACATATGAACTAGCTCTCTATAACCCAAAATGAACTCCCCTTTAACTACTTCATCCCTGAGTCCAGAGTAAAGTTCTCCCTAACCTGTTATTCCTTCCTGATAACCAATTACTGCTTATTTTTGGCTCAGACTTATTTGAAGACTTTGCTGAATTCCTTACTGCTTACAACCTATATTCTCACAGTGAATACTTTCAATTGGTTAACAATAATTAACAATAAATAGCATTCAAATAGGTTTTCCGTTTCAGTTGGGGGCCAGAAAATATGTTTGTGGCACATATCAGTTTAAAGAATAAATGTACTGTAGACCAAGGGGCTGGTGGGCAGGACACAATGCCTATTTCTCTCTGAAGACAGAAATCTCATGACCTTTCAACATGTAGTAGAGAGAACACCAGAATAGGAATTACATGTTTTAGTCACTACTGTGACAAAATTTGTGTAGACTTGGGAAAACATTAAAAAACTTGAATCATTCATTATAAGCATCCATTCAGAAGACCTCTGCAAGGTCCCATGCAATCTGAGGTGCCATGAGTTTAAAAACAAACTCTGTTCACTTCCTCACTTCCTTAATTAAAAGGCTAACCCTCCTGCTACATCACATATGTGCAGAGAAAGCTCACTTTCTTTGATTTTTCTTTTTAGGAATGCACACTCGGGCACAGTAGTAACCATAAAACATGACAGTGAGTAATAGAGGATATGTGCCTTGAATCTGGCAATGTGGTCAGAACACTACAAGAGCAGAAAACTAGTTAACCCTATTCCAAACAAACAAACAAACAAACAAAAAACAACAACAAAAAAAAAATAGGCTGTCCACCTCACTTAAGAGCAGATTTCTTTTCTAGAAAATACTAGAATGGGGGTGGGGGAAACTGTCTCTGCCTGCCTCTGAACTAAAAAGAAAAAGGTCATCCACTAAGCAAACTGATGCTAGAAAAATATTTTTTAAAAATCAAATTACAATGGTAATGATACAAACCCCTGTTGTAACTGAATGTAATATTCATTATTTGTAATGGATACAGGTTAACACAACACCAGCAAAACCATCTCTGCTGCCCAGGAGCGCCCCCAGGGAATTAGGTAACAAGTTCTCCCTCAGGCATATGCAATAATAAACTCAGGTATTCCTTAGGATTTTTATCTTCTTGGTTTCTACATCTTACTTAATAGGGTTTTTGTCAGCACCTCTCTCCTTTCCTACTCTCTTCCTACTCTTAGGAACACTTCCTAAGAGTCAAGGAAGAATGCTGCTGCTTCTAGCACTTTAGGAATTATAAATCTTTCTGGTCAACCTCACACAAGTTAAGTGCAAGATGCTAGGGTTTTGGCTTTAGCAACATCTCACAGAAAGTATAAAGAAGAAAACTGTGTCTTTATTCTAAAAAGAAAACTTTCCTTTATGGTTTAAATTATAACCTTTTGCTACAAATGCAGTACAAATTAGTTACACAAATGAGAAAATTACAAGCAAACAAAATGAAAACTAAAGAAACCATGCACAGAAATCTAACTCCCAGGCTACCTGACCGGCTGCAGAGCTCAGCAGAGCACTTTCCATGTTTCAAATGAAGCAAGGTGTTCTACTGTTTTGTAACATTTTTTGACTTAACAAGTAAAAAAAATACTCTATGTCTTCTATTGTATATATCCCCCTTCACTCCATAGTGTCTTACCTCAAGGTGACTACTCAAGCATCTGAATTCTTTACTCTCAGCCCTCATGCCTCCTTCAAAGTAACCACAAGGCAGCAGCCTTTAACTCTTTAAGTTAACTTGGTGACAGCAGCCTGATGCCATCCACTGTACCCTCACTTCAGTTGATACCAACCTGACAGCAGGGAGAGGCAGCCAAGATGTCGTAGGTATACATGGTACCCAGCTGGTGCCAGCTGCCATCCCATCGTGACTTGCATTTGATGCAAATGATCTTGTGAACCCCTTCCAGGCAGTCCACACACACTGCATACAGATGCATGAGTCTCCCTGCACAGAGAAAACACAAGGCTGAGGATGGCTATGGTGGAAAGCAACTTTATCTCCAGTAGTGCTAAAAAGCACCTCAGGATTAACAAAAAGCAAACATTTTATCATCTGAATAAATATAAAAAGCAAGATATGTATTGTATATCCTTAAGCTGTCCTGTTAGAATAACAGCAAATGATTGCTATCACTATGACAAACTCAAATTTATTCAAAACAGACATTTGCTTCAATTTACTTTTCTAAAATGTGTTGCTCAGATTATTACACTGTCTGTCCATCCAAATCCAAACAACAAACCGATGTGCTTATAACCAGCCAGTAACCACCAGGATTCTCTAGAGTCTATGTGTTACATACAGTGAACCAACACGTACCAACATTGGTCTGATGAACTGTAACCCAAAAATGTCTGTCTTGGTATTGGCAGCCCAGAATTTTACAACAGCCACAATTACTATGTTAACTGTCCTCATTCCCAAAACTGCCCAGCTATCACCACAGCTAATTTAGGAACTATAATTATATATTACTTGTGATATGTTAGCAGTCAAATATATTATTTACTGAGTGTTTACAAATCACAACCTTATTCCTTCACTGTTTATCCAGGACTAAATGTTCATAGAGTTCATCCCACTATATGAAAGACGAGGGGGTTAAATTATTAGTCAGCATGTCCAATATCTTCCTGGGCAGTATGTAACAGCAATACTGCTGAGAAGAGGGAGCACTCTAGAACACTGCATGGTGGCTTCTTCTCCAGAATGTGCTGCTAACTGCCTAAAGTCAAACTTAGGGTTTTTACCATTTACTGACAAAGACCGGCTCTCTCTTCCATGTCTACTGCAAAGGCAACTAATAGCCCTTGGAGGAAACCTTTTTATTGCATTTATTTACATGGTCCTCTTCTTCCTTGAGAGCAGAAGCCACACTTCAGTCATCCTTGTTAACTCAGTACCTAGCACAGTGTCAGCAAAATGAAAAGCTCTGTGTGCTGAGTGAATGGATAGTGCGTGGTATCTACCATAAACACTATAAACTGTGGAATGGGGGCTCTGCCAAAACCAAGAAGACTGGGAAGAACTTCTTGCAATGTCACCCACCTATGTCCTGAAACAGTGAAAACAGGTCTCTCATGCCATACCCATTGAGCGCTGGGACCATATCCAGAAGTCAATTCAATTATCGATGAGCCACTGGAACACTTCCATTCTCTTCCTTGGTCCCACTCAACACAATGCTCAATGACGCATCAGTGCTGCTAGCGGAAGTTAACACCAGGCACAGAAGGTGCTGGTAACAATGGCTCTGATGACGAAGACAAAGAACATTCACTGTGCACTTACCAAGGGCTGCCCTGTCTGTGAGTGCTCGGTCCATGTGTTACTTAACTCTCACTGCAATATTACAAAGGATTCATGATTGTTATTCCCATTTCAAACAGGAGGGACAGAAGCTTATACAGCCTGGGCACCTTATGAAAGCTTACAAAGAAAATAAGGAGCCAAAGCCAAACTCAGTTCATGTCTATCTTGTCTCTTAACCTTGTGGGAAACAAACTCTGGGGAAGCCTGAGTCCAAACTTAGTTTCTGAATTTTTTTTCTGTAACTATTTCACAATGTCTTTTACAGAAAATTTCTGAGCCATAGAAAAAAATTCTATTGCTCTAGCTAGGACTTCAAGTACTATGTTGAAGAGATATGGATAGAGTGGACAGTTTTGCCTTGTCCCTGAGTTCAGTGGGATTGGTTTAAGTTTCTCTCCATTTAGTTTTATGCAATTTTACTTAAGCATAAAACATATATTTGATAGATTTGTTGATTTTATGTAATACATCCCAGAGATTCTTATGTAACTATAAATAACTAATATTTAATCATTACAATATAAATAAAAACTTAATAGGCCATTATTAACTTCATGTCTTATTATATGTAAGTTAAGTTGAAGAATTCTGTAAATAAGTCCTTTCCTGGCAAATACCTAATTTTTCATAAGACTGTGCTTGTTAGTCATGAAAATGCACGTATATACTTTCCACTAGTCCTACTAGTACAATCACATATGACACACAGTAGTGAAGAAATCCAGCAAGTCCCTTTTAACTTGATCAAACAAAACCATTTTCTGAATCAGAGAGCAGGGGCCGGAAGCAGAGCTGGGGAGGGCCAGAAGAATTAAGGGGTAGAGCAAGAGAATAGCAATCCAATGAGCACAGTAAACATCTCAGCAACATATAATCAACTGGGAACTGTGGAATACCATGGCCTAGAATGTGACCATCCTGTTGGAATTGGAAATTCTTTAAAAGTGCAGTTGTGATAAGAACTTGGCTATAAATAAGTTCACCCAAACTTCTGAGGTACAGCACCAGAAACACTGACCCATGACTAACGCCTCATTTGTGATATTGGTGAGTTCTCTAGGATTCATTAAACCCCTTGACCAGATTCTAATACCAGTAGTTAGTTCTTGGTACCACTCCATTATCTCTGTGTATGCTTATATACAAGTGTGTGTGCATGCACACAAGTAATTCAGGCCTATCTAATTTGTATCTTTCTCCACCCTTTTCCTGATCAACACCTTCAAGATTTAGTCTTGAGCTCTATCACAGCTGCTGCTGCTTCTCTTCCCATTTCAAGCTTTTTTTCCCCCAAGATTTATCCACCAATGTTAAAAATAAACTCCCATGTGTTCACCCTAAATGCTTATTTCTAACTGTGCTTGTGAGATACCTTCACAGAAAGTTAACTAAACATATACAAATGACCTCTGCTCCTTTCCCATAAAATCATGTATTTTTCCCAACCTTGCTTAATTGTGCCTGTAAAAACATCATTTATCTGGTTTGGAATCGAAGTAAACTAAAGAAGATCCTTCATTTTTTTTTTTTTTTTTCATTTTTACAGTCAAAGAGTCTCCAATTCTGGCATTTTCCTTAAGTCTCCTGCAGATATCCATTCCTATTAGTCTCCACTATCTCCAGACAGTAGTTTCTAATCTTCATGTGAAAAAGCTTCAACTCTGTCTCTAGATCCCAAACCTTTCAAGCAACTTTTGGGGTATATTAATATAAGGGTTGTTTGTTTTGTTTGTTTTAATGCTGAAAAAAAAAAAAACCTCTAAATTTATACTCACAAGGACATGGCAGGTTTTTTTGGCTTGAAAGAAACAGCCCCTGCCCCAATCTACTCTTGACATCTCCTACTCATTTTTTACTCTATAACATTTCTAACCAAACAGTTCTGCTCATCTTCTGATCACAACTTTATTGGTTTTTCTTAATTATCATCCCTCATATCATCATCAAGTCTTCATCTTGCCTCCTGAAGAACCAAACCCAAGAACTGGGCCTTTTTTCTTGGAAATCTCAGAATACTCAATGTACAGGATGTAGATAATATATATGTTATTTACTAATTCCATTTGTGATGCTATTATTTACAGTGTTAGGCTTAGGACAGTTAAGTTACATTTTAAATACTAAGATTATACATTGATGACTCCACCTAGCACATGTGCAAAGTTTGACTTATGATGGACATAAAAATGAAGGTGTCCATCACAATTCTAATTTATTCCCATAAAGTATGTGCAAGTTTTAGAGTGTAGAAATAAAGGTGTTTCTATGCATTTCCCTTTAAAAGTACCAACAGTTATGCTAAATAAGAGACAAAAACACAAATTCCACCTCTAAAAAAACAGGAAGATACCTAATTCCTACCTAACTGTAGTTCTTACCCTAGGAACGGTGTTCCCTACCCTTCCCAGCTTTAGCTATTCTTTCTACACTTCTGAGATCAGTTGTTGTTGACTCTGTGTGGAATAGGATCATACAGTATTTGACTTATGTGCCTGGCTTATTTCATTTAGTAATTACATCTTCCAGCTTCATCCATTTGAGTGAGTTCACAAATCCTCATGTACTACCAATGGGATGTAGTAGAGCTATTAGAGAAAACAGTAAAAAGTTCCTCTAAAAAAATTAATAATTAAGCCAGTCATGGTGGCTCACACTTTTAATCCTTGCACTCTCAAGGCAGAGCCAAGCTGATCCCTAAGGTTGAGGCCAGCCTGATCTATATATCAAATTCCAGGCCAGCCAAGGCTACAAAGTAGACGGTTTCAAAAATAAAAACATAAACAAAAAATTATGAATTACCTAATAATAACAGAACATGGATGGCCCATGTAAAAATTTTTAATTAGAATTACCATATGATCCAGTATATATACTACTGGGTATATAGCTAATGAAAAGAAATCAAGTGTGTCAGAAGTACTTGTACTCTCATATTCACTGAAGCCTTACTCACATTAGCTATAGAATCAAACTAAGAGTCCATCAAAAGATGAATAGAGAAAATATTTTGTTTATATGCGTATACACACAAATTCAGGCACAAAAGAAATTTAATCATACTGCTATTAAATGGATAAACCTAAAGGACATTAAATATTAAGAAATATGCCAGACACAGAAAGACTAACACCCTGTGGTCCACATAGTTGTAGAATGTAGAAGTACAGAGTAAGTACAGTGGTTACCCTAGAGCTAGGGAAGGAAGAGGGGATGGGGTGGGCGGGAAGAGTCTAGTTAATGGGCAAACAACTATGTTCAGTTGGGAGGAGTAAAAGTTCTACTGTCATCTATTGTTTTTCAAATAACCAGGGCTTTGAATGTTTTTATGACACAGATTATAAATATGAGGTGAATGATATCTTCAGTACCCTAATCTTATCAACACCTAATATAAACAGGCATTAAAACATTACACTACAATCCTTAAATATATACAATTGTGTTTTAATTAAAAGCACAACTTAAAAAAAATCTCAACCTCATCCTCTAACCTAGTAAAGGATGAAAGTGAACAAAGATAATAGAGAATCCATTCCAGCTAGGGTACTAGAAGCCAACCAGTCTATCACTTGTTGGATATACATGAGAAATCATCCTACCCTAGACTGCCACAGAACTGTGAGAGGGATTTAGATCCCATGAGGTCACTAGGCTTTCGAGTGTTCTATCTCATAACAAAAACTACGTCAGAAAATCAAGCAATACACCCAAACAAGACTATTCTCTTTTTTTAACTTGGAAATATAATAAAAGAAATCACATCTGAGAAACAAAAATGTGGTATTATTTTAAAAGCCCCTGAAGCTAGGCTTAATGGCATACACCTTTAATTCCAGCATTTAGGAGGCAAAGGCAGGAATATCTTTTCTAGACCCACCTAATATACACAGTGAGTGTCTCAAAAAACAAAAGGCCCCTGAAAATTCAAAATATTAGAAGAGAAATCCAAGGAAATGTTTCATTTCCAGAAAGTATAACACAGTAAGGGAAACAAATAACAGATAAACTCAAAGGTTTTCTCTCCCATCAAATGGGGGTCAGGAATGTCACTAAGAGGTATGATGTCACATGAACAGGAGATCCAGTAAGTAAAAAGAGAGGAATTTATTAATGAAATAATACAAAAGCAAAGTTTCTACAAAGTAAGGGATCTAAGTTTATATACTCACTGATCTAACACAGCCCAGTGAAGAGAGAGCAGCTAAGAAACCACATCGTGGTAGGATTTCAGAACACTAGAGATAAGTAAGAGAAAAACTGAACCCTTTAGAGAGGATAAAAGACGTAGAGAGAAGGGAATAAAAATATCATCAGACTTCAAGACAGTAACAATGTCAGGTAGGAGATAGTGAAGAAACAATTTCTAAGTTTCCAAAACAAAATATGTATAATTTAAAGTACTACATTACCCAGAGAGGTAACAATCAAAAGCAATTTACAGATTCAATGCAATGCCCATCAAATTATCAAACAATTCTTTACAGACCTTGAAAGAAAAATTCTCAACTTCATCTGGAATAGCAAGAAACCCACAACTGCTAACTAAAACAATCCTCTACAATAAAAGATCTTCTGGAGGTATCTCCATCCCTGATCTCAAGCTGTACTATAGACCAACAGTAATAAAAAGTGCATGGTACTCTCACAGAAACAAAATGGTGGATCAATGGAACCGAATAGAAGACCCAGAAATAAACCCCCACACACTTATGGACACCTGATTTTTGACAAAGATGCCAAAACCATACAATGGAAAAAAGATAGCATCTTCAATAAATGGTGCTAGTCTAACTGGATGTCTCCATGTAGAAAAATGCAAATAGATCCATACTTATCACCATGCACAAAACTAAAGTCCAAGTGGATCAAAGACCTCAACATAAATCCAGACACATTAAATTGGTTAGAAGAAAAAGTGGGGAAGAGCCTTGAACTCATTGGCACAGGAGACAACTTCCTGAACAGAACACCAACAGCACAGGCTCTAAGAGCAACAATCAGTAAATGGGACCTCATGAAACTGAAAAGCTTCTATAAAGCAAAGGACAATGCCTTCAGAACAAAACTCCAGCCTACAGATTGGGAAAGGATCTTCACCAACCCTCTCTCTGACAGAGGGCTAATATCCAGTATATATAAAGAACTCAAGAAGTTGAAAAGCAACAAATCAAGCAATCCAATTAAAAAATGGAGAACAGAGCTAAACAGAGAATTCTCGATAGAGGAATATTGAATGGCAGAAAAACACTTAAAAGAAATGTTCAACGTCATTAGCCATCAGGGAAATGCAAATCAAAACAACCCTGAGATTTCACCTTACACCCATCAGAATAGCTAAGATCAAAAACCCAAGTGACAACACATGCTGGAGAGGATATGGAGAAAGGGGAACCCTCCTCCACTGCTGGTAGGAATGCAAACTTGCACAACCACTTTGGCGCTTTCTCAGACAACTAGGAATAGCACTTCCTCCTATACCACTCCTAGGCATATATCCAAAAGAGGCTCAAGTACACAATAGGGACATTTGCTCAACCGTGTTTGTAGCAGCTTTATTTGTAATAGCCAGAAGCTGGAAACAACCCAGATGCCCCTCAACTGAAGAATGGATGCAGAAATTGTGGTACACCTACACAATGCAATATTACTCAGCAATAAAAAAAAAAGGAAATCATGAAATTTGCAGGCAAATAGTGGGATCTAGGAAAGATCATCCTGAGTGAGGTATCCCAGAAGCAGAAAAACACACACGGTATATACTCACTCATATAGACATATAAATAGGATAAACCTACTAAAATCTGTACACCTAAAGAAACTAATCAAGAGGGAAGACTCTGGCTATAATGCTCAATCCCCATCCTGAAAGGCAAAGAGGATGGACATCAGAAGAAGAAGAAAACAGGGAACAAGTTAGGAGCCTGCCACAGAGGGCCTCTGAAAGGCTCTGCCCTGCAGACTATCAAAGCAGGTGCTGAGACTTATGGCCAACTGTTGGGCAGAGAGCATGGAATCTTATGAAAGAAGTGGGAAATAGTAAGATCTGCAGAGGACAAGAGCTCCACAAGGAGAGCAACAGAAGCAAAAAATCTGAGCACAGGGGTCTTTCCTGAGACTCATACTCCAACCAAGTACCATGCATGGAGATAACCTAGAACCCCTGCACAGATATAGCCCATGGCAGTTCAGTGTCTAAGTAGGTTCCATAATAATGGGAATAGGGACTGTCTCTGACATGAACTGATTGGCCTGCTCTTTGATCACTTTCCCCTGATGGGGGAGCAGCCTTACCAGGCCACAGAGGAAGACAATGCAGCCACTCCTGATGAGATCTGATAGACTAGGATCAGAAGAAAGGAGAGGAAGACCTCCCTCTCAATGGACTTGGGGAGGGGCACGTGTGGAGAAGGGGGAGGGGAGGAAGGAGGGGTTTATGGGAGTGATACAAAGTGAATAAAGTGTAATTAATAAAAATTAAAATAAAAAAATATAAAAAAAAAAAAAGAATGAACAAAGGAGCCAGGCGAGGTGGTGCATGCCTGTAATCCTAGTACTCAGAAGACAGTGGCAGGCAGATCTCTTTAAGGTAGAGAACAGCCTGGCTTACAAAGTGAGTCCAGGATAGTCAAGGATACACAGAGAAACTGTTTTTTTTTAAAAAAAAAAAAAAATTTTTTTAAAGGAATGAACAAAGGCATTCTCAAACTTCCAATGTCTTAGCTTCTGAGAATGTCTGAGAGAAAAAAAATTAGAAAAGAAAAAGAAAAGAGGAAAGGGAAAGGAAAAGGAAAAGGAAAGGAAAGGACTTAAACCATGGCAAGTAAAGAAAGGCTTTCCTTCAACTCCAACAGATCCTGAGGCAGAATAGAGCATGCGGATGAAAGACTTCAGAAGAGATGTTTACAGAAGAAGAAAAAAAACTTCAAAAAATGTTAAGTGCGTAGGAATGCTTTAGGAAAGTGGTTTACAATGCTGCTACATGAGAGCAACTGCCCAAAGTTAAAACAAAGTACACCACTCACAGGCACTTGAACCTTCAAATGCTAAACCAACAGTTAGTTCTCAATAATCATTCAGCACCAACACTGTGATTCTGCACCACGCCACCAAAAAAATCCAAGGCAACAGAAACATGAAAAAAACGAACTCTAATTTTAAAAAGTATCCCTGCAAGACTGGTCCTATAATGAGAATATATGTTTTGGTTCAACACTGCTAACATGCAGCAGAAACACTGGGTATTCATCCCTAAAAGAGAGAAAGATGTAGTCATCCATCTTAAATACCAGTCTTCTCAAAAGATAGTACTGAAAACTGGAGAATAAGGATTTAAAATCCTGATGTCAAAAACCTTGAAGACTCCCTTAGAATTTTGAAGTGTTTGGCTCTAGAGGTGGAGACAGCAGGGTTTCGTGGGAAAAAGACTCTCGGTGGTCATTTTTATCTAATGCTGTAGATACCGTTTAGGCTATGAACGGTTATGTACCATGCATCTCTTCTTTGAAAGTTCAACAGCGTTCATTTCACACCTTACTGCCCAACTCTTTGCCATCAAGTTATAGCTAAAATGTGCCCATGTCTTTGTCATACATATAAGCTGACCACTACTATCCCCTGACCAAGGTCATGCCTGGGCTTTCAATTATTCACCACTTTCCTTTTGATGTTATCAACAGTCTTGTCTTTCACAACTTTAAAATTAATTCAGCTCATATGAAGTCATAGCCCTTGTTTCCTGCTTTCTCTGTTTACAAGGATCACAGCCTGCTAAGCATAAGGTTTCATACTTTTTCACAGCAAAGAGAATAATGTAATTTCTTCACTAAATTTTTACCTAGTTATGAAAAGCTAAACATGATTTATCCTTCAAATTACCACAGGACAAGAACATAAAATTAATGTCCAAGCCGGTACAGTGACATCAGAGTACAAAATCTACCAGCTACTGGGAGAAGCTGAAATACTCATGTTACCTAATTCCTGGCTAGAACAAAAACACACCAGTTACAATTTTTTAAAAAAAGTGCAATTTCATCTTGTTTGCTTTTTTGGTTTTAACAAACAGAAAGCAGGCAAGGTGAATCAACACCTATACCTTGAAGGTGACAAGGAACATCGTATTCAATCTCATCATGTCTTGAGGGGCTTAAGAACAGAGTTCCATCCACCAGTGGGAATTGTTCAAACACAGGGAGTGCCCGGTGGCACAAAGCACAGTTTACAACATTTCTGTGGCTGGCACTGAGGGCTGCAAGAATGAACTTCCGTAGATCCTCCCCTTGGCCCACTTGGGCGTCGTCTTCCATCCGCACGTGGAAAGTGTTCAGCTTATGCCTGGGGATGTGAGTGAGGAGTTCAGAGAGGTCCAGTCGCCGCAGGAACTGCACAGGGGTGTCAAAGTGCCCTGCTCTGTGCACAGACAGACCAGACGAACTGTAATCAAAGTGGGCATTTCTGAACACGTGGCCCCCAGGCATAGCCTTTTTGTGAGGTTCAAGATGAATGGCGTTCTTTAAGAATTCCCCAAGGTATCTGGAGGAGCGGGGACCACTAAAGTGAGCTGGGGAAAGGATAGAGTAGCCAGTGGGTGGGGACTGGCCAGGGGAGCCACAGGGGGAGCGGGCCCCATAGGCTGTAGCACTGACTGGCTTTTCCTGGGAGTTCTGCCTGTCCATGGAATGCCTCCGGGGAAGGTCATGGTTCAGACCTTTCTGGGGCTTGTTCAGGGGCCTGCATTTTTTTGCCTCCTCCCCAGCCTCCGCTGGAGGCCTTGCTGTATTCTTCTCTGACCCAGACTTCTTCTTTTTTTCATCTTGCATCCTCTTTACCTGGTACCAGTCTGTGTCCTTTTTTAAGTGGCCCTGCCCACAGCGGCAGGAACAGAAGCGGAAGGCCAGGTCATATCCCTTCTTGGTCCACATGTTCTGGCGACACTGCTTCTCATTCCAGCTGCGGGCCCTGCCAATGCAGTTGAACTGCACCAGGATGCTGCTCTCCCACTCGTAGAAGCACTGCAGATGCATCCAGGTGCTGCAGGGGCAGTGCTCGTTGTTGCACACCACCTTCTGGTAGTCATCCTTCTCCAGGTCCACAGGCCTCCCAAAGCTACAGATGAGGGGTGTGGCACAAGGAGCTTCTGAAAGAAGAATAAAGAGAGATTCAGTCCACAGGACAAGAGGACTCCAGGGGCAACCATCCATCCCCATTATCTCAGTTATACCAAGTCTGGAACAAACACCAAGCAGATTCATCAAACATTCATCATTTTCTTCTGATATGGTGTTGTTCCAAAGAAATTTATTTCCTATTATTATTTGCTGAAAAACATACTGTCAAGTTTCAAGAAGCCCAAATCCTTCACAGTTCAGTTGTGTGTCAGGCCTCATGACAGTGCAGTATGAAGTTTTCTCAAGACATGGGTATAACACCAGGCTGCACCAGAGTTCCCTTCAAAATGAGTCAATGCAGGGCAACTTAGGAAGTAATATGAAGCTATTGAACCAACCAGTTCTGGTGGCATCTTCTAAAGGGCTATCAAAATGCTGGATCACTAGGGCTTTTAAATAGCCCTGATTAGCAAAACAGCAATGAGAAAATAGAGCAGCCTCATCTTAACTTTTCTTCTAGGGTCATTAGATACTAATGGAAGGATATCTGCTCAAACTAACTGTTGGCCTATAGAACTCCAGTTATGAAAGAAAGCAACCGTTCTCTTAAAGCATATAGACAGAAAGCAACACAGTAGTATTTCTTCAGTCTTACACGTTATGCAGGATCTAAACAGCTAAGCAGATTCCCAGAAATGAGAAAGACATAATAGCACAAAGCAGGCCCATTTCTGAAAAGGTAAATATACGTATGGACACAGGTGGGTACCAGATTCTTACAGATTTTCAACATTAATCTAGTGTCTGGGCTTAGAATGTGTGTTGTAAAAATGTACAGAAGACCTGTAATAAAGACACTAATCACAATCAGTGGGTACCAGGAAAGGTTAGAAGAGAAGGATGAAAAAGTTTCTAGGAAAGGGCAGCTATTCTGTAGGATACTGTGACAGAAGTTGCGTATCATTACACGCTTGTCAAAAATCCACAGCACATAAACACCAGCAGTGAACTCTAAAGGTTAGCTATAGAACTGAGAGCTACTCTATCAACATAGGTTCAGGACCCAATTTGTACAGAACCTGCTGACAGTGGGGCAAGAGGCTCCATTTGGGGTGAAATAGGGATTACATATAAATTCATTGTACTTTCAATTTTTCTCCAACCTGCTCTAAAAAATAGTATCCTTATTTCTTAAAGTTGGGGAAGAAGAGAACAGATGTCAATTCCAAGGAATACTAGCCCTGAGAAAGTAGGATGGTTATTTTATTTTTATAAATGTGTATAATACATATTAATATTTAAATAATTGGTAGGTTATAATTTTTAGTGAGAATACAAACATGCTTAGACATACATGCTTAGACTCTTCACAGTACCATAAAAGCATAAACCACAGTAGCATAAAAGGCTTACTAATGTTGTTCTTATCATTAATGGAACCCTTACTATACAGCTGATGGCATTGTTACTTGTTAAAGAAGCTTTGTATGGTGATAGCTGAAGGCCTAACCAAGATATAGGAAAATTAACAAAACATGCATCCAAACTGGGAAATTAAGAGCCTAGTAGAGCAGGAACAAGCAGACAGAGTCCTGGCCATGTGATGCCACAGGCCCAAACTAGCAGTGTGACTACCTGCCCCAAAAAAGACCAGCATATTGAACAATAAATCAACAGGCTTCCCCAATTGTTCTCTTTGCACTTCTAGTATTTTAAATATAATTCATTACTGCCCTTAAATTCCAGTCTGTATTTTCATGCTGTTCCCCTTTTGCCTCCTGTTCCTCCAAATGACTACTTACCAGGACTAGTGATCAGCATTTCTCTCTTCACTTCCCTAAGGAGAAACTAAATTTGCTATTTGCGAAATTTGCTATTCCTTAACAAGGGCACTACTGGCATTTAGACAATCCTTTGTGGAGTATGACTATCTGTTGCATTACAGGAAGCTGTCATAAGTGGACCCTTGGGATTTGACCTAAATAACTCCATCTGCCTCAACTTTCTATGATCTGGGGGTGGGGTACTGGGGTTGGACCCCAGGCCTTGGTCCATGCTAGGAAACCATTCTACACCACTGTGCTGCATCCCCAGGTATAACAGGGAACTATTGAGCTTGATCACAAAGGTTCCAAGTACTATATATAGGCATTTAGAACATATCTGCTGTAAATGAGATTCTAAAGAAGCACTCTGAGACTTAAAAATTGTTATTAGATTCTATATCCATTATGGCGGCACTGTGAAACTTGGGACAGGAAGGAGAGAGTGGATTGGTCAAATGGGAATGTGAGGGCCTGAACTCAGTAAGCAGTGTCAGATATCTGTCAGTGTATGAGACAAGGAAGAATAATAATCTGATCAACTTCCTTGTTTGGGACCTGATAAGCAGAAGTACTTATGTATGAATATGACCACAGCTCAATAGAGTTCAAATATAGAGTACTGGCAGAACCACACACCCAGAAATGCTGGATAAACTCCTGGGACCCAAGAGACATGCAAGGATAATAAGAAACATGAACAAAAACATGAGATTGGGAGGAGAGTTGTGAGCAGTAAAAGTACTAACACCAAGAATACTACAAGAGAGTCCTCTACAGAGAACAGTAAGGTAGAAATAAAACTCACTGTAAGACAAGAGAGAATAATGTCAAATGGGAAATGTTTAAGAATGGAGGTTAGTGTTCTATGCTTGAACAAGACCAGTATTTTTCAGCCTCTGCACTACCGACAACTTGGGGATCAGATAATTCCTGGGGTAGGAACTATTCTGTGCTTACAAGATATTTAACTACATTCTTGCCTTCCACCTCATGGTTATCAATAGCATTCCTTCCCTCCATTTTAATGTCCAGAATGTCTGCAGACATTTGCAGATACTCCCTGTAGGGCAAAACGACTGGTTGAAAACTACTACTAAGCTAAGGCCAAAAAGTTCACAGAATAAGCAGTGAATCAAGCCCTGCCATCTCTGTGAGGGCTTTCTTGTGGTGTGGTGAGGGATGGGTAAGAGCAAATGGTGGGCAAAAATAAAAAGATAGCAATTATGTGTAGCTAGCTCTCTGGAAAACTTGCCAAGAATAGCCACAAAGGTAAGAAAACAGTATGGGTTTGGAACAGAGGACATGTGTTACAGCATGGTCTGGTGCTTTGTATTCAGATATTAATTGCATACCTACCTGTCCTCCCAACTCCCCCCTCCCTCCTACCCCCAGATTCTTACTGTTCTATGAGCAAACCCTTATGTAACCAAAATGACATTTGTGTAACCTTGCTTGCAAAAAGCAATCCCTAAATGCCTATACCTGGGCAGGGCAGAAGTGAGGCGGCAAAACTAAGGTTCTCAGGTTTGGAGGACAGAGGATCACGGGAGAGGGAAGAGAGACAGGAAAGAGGACAGGAAAGGCAAGAAAGAAGAGAGACCACCATGGCTCATTGTAAAGAATTACATGGCCAGAAGGAGTTTGCTCTGAGGATCAGTGATGGAAAGATGCAGCCCAGATGAAAAGCATGAGCAACTATATATGGGAATTATGGATGGGAAGTAGCCCTGATTAAGGCAAATTATATGGGATGTGGGGCTGGGAGGTAGTAAGGTAGCTTAGCAGGTTTATATCTGCCCAGCCCCAGAGTTTAAGGTATACTAAAAATCTAACAGGTATCTGTGTCTTTTATTGATACGATAGCAAGTTAAATAATAATCACTGTAATCTATAGGTTAATAGTATGTATTAATAGCCTTTTTCTACAACAGACAGCAAAGGCTAAGACCAGAGCATTTTCCGGAACATAGGACTCAATAGCTTGAAAACACAACACAGGAAATAATGGAATCTCCAACTTCTCCAGAAACCACAACCTCACCACTGCCCAATGAATCACTATCACAACATCCCATCAAATTCGACAGACAGGTGTACATACCCTTAAAGCCTATGCAAAAACTAGCTATTACTCTTATATTCCAATTATCCCCTTCAAAGCCAGGGCCTGAGCAAAACAAACCTAAATGACTACTGTGGCTTCTCCATCTGCCTCTTAGGAGTTTAAATCCTTGATCTTCATTTATCCAAATCCCATTTTGTACAGGAGAGTAATTCATAGTAATAATTCTGCCATCAGAGCCTTGCATACCAGTACCATTTACAGCAATGTCAACCTTCCTAATGCTATAACCCTTTAATACAGTTCTTCATGTAGTGGTGATCCCCATCCATAAAATTATTTTCATTGTTACCTCATAACGGTAATTTTGCTACTGTTATGAATTGTAACTTAAATATGTGTTTTCCAATGGTCTGAGGTGATCCGGTAAAAGGGTTGTTTAAACCCCAAGGAACAAGTTACCTCTTTTCTTGTCAGTTTCTTTTATATCTTAGTTGTTAACGAGGAAAAAGGCATGCATATACACACAGTGGTTATCACATCTAGGGTGTGACATCCACTAAAACTTAGCTCTTCCTGCCTAATGCTTCAAGGTCCACCTCCAGACACCCAACTGCACCACCTGGCCCAGGACTTTTATAATCAGGAGCTGAATAAAATTGCATTAAAAGACACTGCTGTGTAAAATTCACACATGACAAAAGCAGAAGTAGGAAAAAGACCCAAACATACTCAATCACAATGAAAAAAGTACAAGAATGGTTCATACTGAGTAAACTAACCACAGTCACCTAGACTGTGTCCTTTAAATGTTACTCAATTAAACAAGGTTAAGTTGGTTTAGTCGTCAGTTCTTCAGAGGGATAGCCTTAAATAGAATACCTCTGAAATGTAATGAAAACCAAGATATATAAACCCAGAATTAATTATGGGTGGCTACTGATTTCTTCATTCACAACATTCAAACCAGAATATAAACCCTGAAATCCATTGCCAAAAAAAGAAAAAAGACAAAGGTAGACTAGTAAGGAGAAATTTTCTTTAGATCATTTCCAAAAAGCAGCAGATATGCTTAAATGTTAATATCAAGCAACTCCTACAAAACAGAACTTTGAAGCTGGATGAGTCTGCAAATTGTACT